ACAATGGCTTTTGAGAAACAGACACGTTATTTTCTCACACTTTAGGTGGCTGGCAATCCAAATTCAAAGGCCGGGCTCCGGGAGCCTCCAGGACCCGGCATCACCTCTCAGCCTACTCATGGGAAGGCAGGCCTCCGTCTCTTTCCAGCCTCGGTTCCTCAGTTCCCTGGTCATCTTCACATGGCGTGGCATTTGTCCGCCTCCATCTGAGCTGGCTGGCTCCTCTTCCATCTCAAAAAGTGTTTGGTGTAGGATGCACCCAACACTGACATGGCTTCATTAACAGAGAAAACCCTGCTCCCAAACGGGATGACAGCCACACACATCCGGTTGTTCTGTGTCACCGAGTCCATTCTGACTCAAATCAACGTTATAGGACAGAATAGAACTTTCCATAGGGCTTTGTAGGCTTTAATCGTCAAGCAAGCAGAAAATCCTTGGAGCTATTGTTGGTGCAAACTGCCAAGCTTTCAACCAGCAGCTCCATTGTACCAGTACAGATCCATCGTACAACGGGGCTCCTTTCTACAGGAATAGGAGTTAATATTTACAAAACTTTTTTGAAGGATTAAGATGTAGTGCCACCAGCTGTCTGTCAGTTTGTCGTACTGTAGTGGCTTGCATGTTGCTGCCATGCTGAAGCTATGCTGTCAATATTTCAAACACCAGCAAGGCTGCTCATGGTGGACAGGTTTCAGCGCTTTCAGGTGAAGACTGATGAGGGAAAAGGAAAAGGCAGACCACTTCTAAAAATTAGCCACTGGAATCCTTGTGGATAACAGTAGAACATTGTCTAACATAGTGCCGAGTGATGGGCTCTTCAGGCTAGAAGGTCCTTAATGACATGAATGGAGCAAAACTTTTGGGACCTTTCTTTGCTGATATGGCACAAGTCAAAATTCAAAGAAACAGCTACAAGCATCCATTAATAATCGGAACATGGGAATGCACAAAGTATGAATCTAGGAAAATGAAAGTTGGCAAAAATTCAATGGAATGCATAGGCATTAGTGTAGTAAAATGGACTGGTATTGGCCATTTTGAGTCAGACAATCATATATTCTGCTATGTCGGGAATGTCAAAAATTGAAGAGGAATAGGATCTCATTCATTGTAAAAAGAGCATTTCAAGTTCTATCTTTAAGTATAATGCAGCCTACGATAGGATAATAGCCATAAACTTACAAGGTAGACCAGTTAATACAAAAATCACTCAAATTTACACATCAACCACTAGAACCAACTCCAGTCAGAAAGTGGTCAAATATCCACTCAAGATGCATTGATAATTATTGGTGGTTAGAATGTAAAAGATGAAAACTAAGAGGAAGTATCAGTAGTTGGAAAATATGGCCTGGTGGTAGAAATGATTCTATAGATCTTATGACAGAATTTTTCAAGATCAATGACTTAGTCACTGAAGGTCAATTTTTTTTCAACATGAGTGGTAACTATACACAAGGACTTCACCAGATAGAATATAAAGAAATCAAATCTATTACATCTGTGGAAAGATACTATGAAAAAGCTTAATATGACCAGCAAAAATAAGGCAGGGTCAACTGTAGAACAAACCATCAATTGTTCATATACAAGTTCAGGCTAAGATAAATAAAATACGACTTCGAGTATAACCAACCTGAATTTAGAGACTGTATCAAGAACAGATATAATACAACAAAACTAATAATCAAAGACCAAAGAAGTAATATGACATCATTAAGAACACCGTACGCAGAAAGCAGAAGGTCACAGAAAGGACAGGAAAGCAAAGAACAAAATGGGTATCAGAAGAGACTCTGAAACTTGCTCTTGAATGTTGAGTAGCCAAGAAAATACAAAAAATGATGAAGTTAAGGCGCTGGAGAGACCAATTCAAAGCGCAGCTAATGAAATGTGCCAAGACCTGGAGTTAGAAAACCAAAAAGGGAGGAGAACATGCTCAGCATCTCTCACGCCGGAAGTATTGAAGAAGAAAAATCAAGGTTGGACTTGTAATGCTGAAGGAGTCTATGGGCAAAGATTTCAACGACACAGAAAGCATCCAAAAGAAGTAAGAACCATATAGAGTCACTGTACCAAAAGCACTGTACTACTCAACAGCCAACCATTTCCAGAGGCAGCATATGATGAGGAAACAACTGTTTTGAGGGAAGGAGTCCACGTTGTCCTGAAGGCACTGGAAAACAAACAACAACAACAAAAACCAACCATGTTCCAGGAATTGATGGCTTACCAACTGAAATGTCTCAAAAGTTGCTACAGTGCTGGAAGAACTCACTCTTGTAAGCTACGAAACTTGGAAGACAACTACCTGGTTAACCAACTGGAAGAGATCCACAGTGGTGCGCATTCCCAAGACAAGTGACTCCATAGAGTATGGAAAGTATCAAACATCAGTACTATCAGATATAACTAAAATTTTGCTGAAATAATTCAAAATTGGCTGCAGCAGTACATAGAAATCAGGCAGAAACTCAAGCCAGATTCAGAAGAGGACATGGTATAAAGATATCATTGCTGATGTCTGACAGATCTTGGCTGAAATGAGGGAAGACCAGAGACATGTTGACTTGTGTTTTACCAACAATGCAAAGACATTCGATTGTATGGGTCATAAAAAAAACGGTTGCGGGGCCCGGGGAGGAGGGGGATTTCCGGGGCCTTTACTTTTGTTCTTCCGGACCTTTTCCGGAGGCCAGGGGCCATTGTTGGGACCGGACCAGGGGGGCGTTGATTGTTTAACGTTGAGAACAGTGTGCTTTACGGTTGCATCCTTTCATCATTATTTATTCAGTCTGCATAATGAGCAAAGAATCTGAGAAACTGGATTATCTGACGAACGTCGTATCAGCAATATGCAGACAGCAACACTTTGCTTGCTGAAAGTGAGGAGTATTTAAGTGCTTACTGGTGAAGATAAATAAATACAGCCTTCAATATGGATTTACACCAATGTAAAGAAATGAATAACATCATAATGCACACAGAAAACACTGAAGTTGTCAAGGATTTCATTTCACTTGGGTTCACGATCAACTCTCATAGAAGCAGCAGTGAGTAAATGAAAGGATGTCTTAGATTACACGAATCTGCTGCAACAGACCTCTCTTTAAAGTGCTGAAGAGCAAAGAAGTCAGTTTGAGGACTAAGGTGCACCCGACCCAACCCATTGTATTTTCAATCACCTCATACGCATGTTAAAGCTGGACAATGAATAAGACTGGAGAAAAATTGGTGATTTTGAATTATCGAGATGACAAATATTGAACACACCATGTATTGCTTTAAGAACAACTCTGTCTTGGAAGAATACAGCTAAAATGCTTCTCAGATATGAGGATGGTAAGACTTCCGTCTCATGCACTTTGGACACATTATCAGGAAGGACTAGTATATGGAAAAGGACATCATGCTTGGGAAAGTAGAGGGTCAGCAAAAAAGAGGAAGACCCCAAGTGAGACAGAGCAACACAGGATCTGTATCTATGGCTAAAAGAGAACAATTATGAGAATGGAACTGAATTGGGAGTTTCCCTCTGGCGTGAATAAGGATGCTATGAGTTAGAACTGACTCAAAGGCACGCGACAACAACGCGCAGTGGATGATTTACTATCGCTCTTTTAATCCATGAGCGGTCCTGAAACTCCCTATGTGATCGGATGATGGCGATGGCTGTGTGCCATCGAGTCCGTTTTGACTCTGAGCGATCCTGTAGAGGGTCTCTGAGGCTGTAAGTCTCTACAGGAACAGTAAGACTGTTTGTTTTCTGTCCCCCATGGTGTGGCGGGTAGATCTGAATTGCTGACCTTGCAGCCCAGGTCATAATCCATGCTATCAGGGTTCCTGAATGAGTGAAAAATTATGTAAATAAGGTACTTGGGACCCACCAAAGATTGGACAGCATTGCTAACAATGCAAATAAAGTGCATACAACCTTGTGGGGAGTGGGACCATGCAAATAAGGTGTCTGAAATGTAACAGTAGGATTGGTCAGTTTTGCCATCTACTAAACTTGAAGAGAGTCAATCCCAGAGCAGAAGTGGGACTTTACTACCACCAAGAAGAGATGAAAGTGGAGTATGTCCTTCGGACCAGGATGCCTGTGCTCAGAACCTCAGACCCAGGCAGCTCAGTGAATTACTTACTATGACTCGCCCAGCCATAGTCTTTGTAACTCCCACACAATGAGTGGGTAGGGCTACGAAATGAGTTCTATGGAAACTGATATCTCAGGTATGTTTCAGCTTGGTTGGGTTGTGATTTTCCGTGGTTGGATGATTACATCATTGCTGACACGGATGGGAGTAATGATGTAATTAGTGTCCTTTCTGTGATGTGCGGTAAGTCCCAGCCTCTATGTCAAGGTGCTCTCCTTGGGGAGTGAGTTGTCTGGTATCTTAATGAAGCAAGATCAAGGTCGGATGAATTCTGAGTAACCCCCTTACTAGACTTCCCAGTCCAAGAAGCAAGAAAGTGAAGTACCTTCTGGCAGAAAATTCCTTGGCAAAGAGTGGTGCCTCAGGGCCCTCTCCAGAATGGACGAAGAGTTGGTAAATGTTAGGAGGGAGGAGGTATATCTGATCCTGACCACTGCCTCATAGCAATCAGTCTTAGACTGATACGGATTCTCCTTCTGCCTTGTGAACTGACAGGAGGTCAGACACCTCTGACATTTCACTGTTTCAGCCCAGGAGACAGAGAGAGAGCCGTAACACCAGAGATGGCCTGAAACAGCGAGAAGCAGCCACAGAAAACAGTGGCAGGGGAACCAGGACATGGGCACCAAATGGCTCACTAGAGCAAGGGGGTTACAGTGGGAGTGCTGACCCGCTGAGCAAGACAGCTGTGGCCCTTTGGGCAGAAGGCTTTCTGGAGCAGTGGGGGGTGCCTCTGGGAACTTATCAGCCAAGCTAGGCTTGCTGGTTCATGGAGCTAAAGAGCTGAGTACCTTCAGGCAGGAGTTTTCTGGGAAGACTAGGGTGCATCTGGGAGCTCACAGAAAGGACCAGAGAGCTTTGCAACTCTCCATCCAGCAGGACAGGGGCCAGGCTGAGGTACTCAGCAACCGAGCGAGAGGCCTGCCTGCAGATGTGGCCCAAAAGCTGTCCTGACCAAAGAACAAGATTGGGTCATTCCTGATCCTTCATCGTAACCCGTTATGTCTCTAATGGAGTCCTGGTGTGGTGCTGTACGCTGAGCGCTGTACCAAAAGGTCAGTGGTTCAAACTCACTAGCTGCTCCTCAGAAAACTTATACCGGGTCACCACGAGTTGTAACCGACTCAATGGCACTTAACAACAACACTTCCCTAATACTTTTCCTAACGGGACCACTGGTGGCACACTGTGCTACACACTGAATTGTTAACAGCGGAGTTAGCGGTTCAAATCCACCAGCCATTCTGCAGGAGAAAGATGAGGCTTTCTGCTCCCGGAAACCCTATACAGGGTTGCTGTGAGTCAGAACCCACTTGATGGCTTCAAACAACTTCTCTAATAAATCCCATGATGGTGAGTTGTATGCAGTCATTTCAACACATGATCAAATCCAGCAGAGCAGAGGGCTGTGGGAGGGGCCGCTGGTGTCAGAATTCGTACAAAAGGAGATCTCGCTACCCTTCACCTCAGGAGCAACATCCTTGGGCTGATGCTTATGTTGATTCTTCATCCTCAAAAGTTTTAGGACCTCTGATACCACGATGCCATTTTGTCCCCTACCAGGGACAACATTCAGTCTATCACAGTATCAATTGTCTCGTATCGATGTAGTTGGATTTCATATGGATAGCATTCCTAAAATGAGGATGCACAGAGCTACTCCTCTGTAGTCCCTAGGCTACACTCCAGTTGGCATCTACTGGAAAGTTTCTTCATGCCTGCCATTCTACCTAGTACAGTTCTCTGGCGGCAAATGAGGTGTGTGTTTGAAAAGGAAACTTACTCACACACACTGCAGTCTTGTGTTCCATTCCTGCCTAAACCCTGTGGCAAAACCAACTCTTCCGTCTCAATGAGAACTTCCAGATATCCACGTCATTCACGCTTTTTCTCCTCTATGAGTTTTCTGATGTAAAATGAGGCTGAATTTATGGGAGAAAGTTTTCCAACACTGAGTGCACCCATACGGTTTCATGCCAGTATGGATTCTTTGGTGGATAAGAAGATTTGACTTCTGGGCAAAAGATTTCTGACATTCCTCACATTCATAAGGCTTCTCTCCCGTGTGTGTTTTCTGATGCACGATGAGGCTGAACTTGATGGGAAATGTTTTCCCGCATTCGCTGCATTCGAAAGGTTTCTCCCCTGAGTGAATTCTCTGATGGATAAGGAGATACGACTTCCGGCTGAAGACTTTGTGACATTCGCCACATTCGTACGGTTTCTCTCCAGTGTGAGATCTCTGATGGATAGTGAGGTGAGACTTCTGAGTGAACGCTTTCTGGCACTGATCGCACGCGTAGGGCTTCTCCCCGGTGTGAGTCCTCTGGTGCAGAATCAGACTAAACTTGATGGAGAACGTTTTCTCACATTCACTGCACCCATAGGGTTTCTCTCCTGTATGAATTCTCTGATGGATGGTGAGACCTGACTTTACAGTGAAGCCCTTTCCACACTCACTGCAATTAAAAGGTTTCTCTCCCGTGTGGATTCTCTGGTGTCGAATGAGCTTCGAACTCTGGATGAAGGCTTTCCCACATTCGTTGCATACGTACGGCTTTTCTCCTGTGTGAGTTTTCTGGTGTAAAATGAGACTGAACTTCAGGGGGAATGTTTTGCCACATTCGCTGCATCCATAAGGCTTTTCTCCCGTGTGAATTCTGTGATGGTTAATGAGCTGTGACTTACTGCTGAAGGCCTTCTGACATTCGTCACATCTGTAGGGTTTCTCGCCTGTGTGAGTTCTTTGATGCAGCTTCAGTTGGGAGCGATCCTTGAAACATTTCTGACATATATGACACTCGAAACATTTCTCTTCGGTGTGAGTCCTCTGGTGTTTATTAAGGCATGACTTATCGGTAAAGGCTTTCCCACACGTATTGCATTTGTAAGGTTTCTCTCCTGTGTGGATTCTCAGGTGTAAATTGAGATGGGACTTGCGGCTGAAGGCTTTGGGACACTTGCTGCATCCGTAGGGCTTCTCTCCCGTGTGTGTCCTGTGATGCTTAATGAGGTCGGACTTCTGGGAGAAGGCTTTCCCACATTCACTGCAGTCGTAGTGTTTCTTCCCTGTTTGTGTTTTCCAGTGTTTAATAAGCTGTGACTTGTGACTGAAAGCCTTTGCATATTCATTATATACTTTGTGTTTGTCTCCAGCATGGGTTTCCTCATATCTAGCATGAGAAAATAGACTGTTATATTCATGAAAGCCAGCTTCACTTATTGCATAGCTTCTATTTGGAAGAAGGTACTCTGGATTGGCGTTTAAGTGTTTTCCAAATATATAAGATGTTTCCTGAAAAGGAACGTCAATGCTTGAGCTCAAATGAGATATTTTCCACAATTCATTGTTTTGGTAGTAGTTCTTCATCATTTCAAATTTGCCTTGGTTTTCTTGGTACCAGTCTGAAAGTTTATCAATGTGCCAGGCATCTTCTGGAAAGGAAACCAATGAATCAATCATGATTATGTAACAGAAGAGGAAGAATCTTACAGCAAAGATCAAGGAGAGGGAATGAGATGGTGGGCATGGAACAAAAGTCGGAGGCATTTTAAAAAAGGAGACAAAAGTAAAGGAAGGGACGAGAGGTATGAGCAACATACCACATGAGAAGAAAGGAAAAGTTGCATGCGCTTTAATATATGAGAAAAGGGAGATTGAAGTATGGTCGTGGATTCGAGGATATCAAGTACACTGACGATGCCAGGGAGAAAGATTAACAAGGAAAGCAAATTACTTAATTAGACAGAGAAGAATCTGGTTACAATACATGAAAGAAGGAAGTGTCTTGTTTATAAAAGCAAGCAACGTAAGTACTGAGTTTATTTTACTGACAGTGAAATCATTGGGAATAGGATCATGAGATGTCATGAAGACTGTAACTGATGTCAGTGAAATGTACATGCAGAAATTGTTGAGATGGTGTTTCTTTTGTTATGCATAGTTCAAGACAATATAATTAAAGACTATATTTGATCATTAAAAACAGAACTTTAAAGTAAAACAAGCAAACCACAAGAAAAAGAAACGAAAACAGCAGAGGCAGTACGAAAGTATGCACGGAGAACTCAGGCCAGGTGTTCTGAGTTACATTCAGAGGCTTAAGAACGTCAGAAAGATTTTTCAAACATGTTAGAGTCTCTCCCTATTATTGACAGTTTTACCCACATTTTCCCCATAAGGCTGATTCGTTAGTTACTCACCTGGAAGATACTGACTCGTGATTTCTTCTTCTACTAGCCAGGGTTTTCCTTGCTCCAACTGGAAAATTGTATCTGCTTTCATAGCTTGGTACCCTATTCAGGAGAAATTATTCAGTAGCAATACAACTTGTAGCCCACAGAGCTGGACACAACTTGGGCTACAAGCCTTCTGAAAATGAACACAATTACATTTAAGGGCCTAGGCCCTTTGCATTTGGACACTGTAAAGACTTGTACTTGCGAGGTGAGGGCAAAACCCTCTTTCAGGGGTCAGAAAGGTACTAAAATTCTATGACACATGAAACTCAAGTCGAAAAATGTAAAGCACTTGGGAGGCCCCACCATGTTTCACACTGAGAAAGGAATGGCAATGGCGGGGTATACCGGCACACAGTGAAGCGCTGCTTACCTAGGGATACCAGGTTGCTATAATTCTCCAACATGACATCTTTGTAAAGGTCCTTCTGAATAGGGTCCAGTAGTTGCCACTCCTCCCAGGTGAAGAGCACAGCCACATCTTTGAATGACAACAAACCCTAGAAGAAAGCATTCAAATTCACGCTACAGGGATTATCATTGGTTAGTACTAGAAAGATAACCGGGAATGTGTCACAATTATTTTCCTCATGGTCATCTGTCTGCTTTCTGTGTGACTAGTTTTGCATTATTGTTATCAGTTGCTATTTACCTGTTTTCAACTAAGGAGCTCTGGTAGCGTAGGGGTTACAAGACGGGCTGCTAATCTCAAGGTCAGCAGTTCGAAACTACCAGCGGGTTCCTTGGGAGAAAGATGAGGTTTTCTGTTCCCGTAAAGATTTATAGCCTCGGACACCCCACAGGAGGTCGCTGTGAGTTAGAACCGACTTCTTGAGTGTGTAAAACAGAACTGCTCCATAGGACTGTCAAGGTGGTGATCTTTTAGAAGATCGTCAGACCTGTTTTCCAAGGCACCTTTGAATGGATTCAAACCACCAACCATTGGGCTAGTCGCCCAACACACAGCCATTTGTGCCACACTGTGTTGTTGCTGTTGTGTGTTGTCAAGCCTACAAAGACTCACAGAGACCCTACAGGACAGAGAAGGACCCCAGTAGGTTTCCTAGACGACAATCTTTACAGAAGCGGTCTTCCGAGTCTTTATTTGTTGTTGTTGTTAAGTGCCTGCCTGTCCCCTCAAATTCACTGTGTGATAGTTTAGGTTTTGAGTCAACTTGATTGGGCAAGGTTCTCAGGGGTTGGACAGCTGAAATATAGTTAGTTATCCCCCTCTGATGAGATCTAATACAATGTAATTAACTTTGTGCTGAGGTCTGCTCTGAGCAGTCAATCAACTGAATGAAAGTCTCCTTGGGGGTGTGGCCTACTCCCAACTTACTGGATGCTGTTGTTGTTAAGTGCCGTGGAGTCGGTTCCGACCCATAGCGACCCTGTACAGGGTTTCCGAGGGTGTAAATCTTTACGGGAGTAGAAAGCCTCATCGTTCTCCCGCGGAGCAGCTGGTAGTTTCGAACCGCTGACCTTAAGGTTCGCAGCCCGATTTGTAACCACTACGCTACCAGAGCTCCTAACTTACTGGATAGTAAGGAGCTTAAGGAGCTCTGGTAGCGTAATGGTTACGAATCGGGCTGCTAATCTCACGGTCAGCAGTTTGAAACTACCAGCTGTTCCGCAGGAGAAAGATGAGGCTTTCTGCTCCCATAAAGATGTACAGCCTCAGAAACCCTGTGCAGTGTAGTCACTACCAGTCAAACCTGATTCGATGGCACAGCACCACCAAAGCACTGCTGTGGGCTCTCTGCTGGCTCTGCATCTCGAATCTGGCTCGTCCTCCGACCTCCAGTTCGTTGCACCTGAGCCACTGGTGTCACTGGTTTGGCTTCTCTAGAGCGCGTACCCTAAAGCAAGTGGGAAATTTAACAACTCACCTGGGACGTGGACATCTTCTACTGTCCTTGGACAAGGTCAGCGAGAACTCTCACATCTACTTTGTTCTGATTCTATAGGCTCTTCTCTGAAGGCCTCGCTGGTCTCTGATCAAAGCTGAGGTGGTGATCATAGGGCATCCTCTTCCTCCACTCACAGGATCTCACTTACCCCAGGAAGTCCAATACTGGGGGATTCAAACCAAATTCATTCTGGCTGTGGCTGGAGCAATCAAGGCAGAAGTGAGAAATAAGGAAAATCACCAATTAGCCACCTGGAAAGTAGAAAACAAAACAACAACAACAAACCTTAATGAGTGTGATTAAACATGAGACTGGACTTGGCTGAAAGAAGAGTTAATGGATTAAAAGTTCGTATTGACAACTTTGAGCTCTGGTGTGGCACTGTAGGATAAGCACTGGTAAGCAGCTGTAAGGTTGGCACTTCAAACCCACCAGCGGCTCCCGGAAACCAGCCACTATGAGCGACACTGGTCACTTCACCTAAAGTGCTGAGCATAAAGAAAAGATGACAGTATGAATACAAAGAAGGGGTTTTACCCCAAAGAGATGGAGATACGAGCAGGATACAGTGACGTGTCCAATACTGTTTTCAGAAAAGCAAACAAAAGGGAAGGGAAGTGAGAGAGAGGGGCACTATTTGAAGAGAGAAGCAGCAGAGAATTTTCCAGAAGAACAGAGATACAGCTAATTCTGCTGCACAGTTCCGTTTGAGTTTCAGTGGGTCAATACAAACAAGCTACACACAGATATTTTGGTGAACTTAGAAAGTATTTTTTAAAAAGAGACGATCTTTAAAATGATCAGAAAGAAAATTAGAAAAAAATTTTTAAGTAAAAATACTGTATTTAAAGAGAATATCTTTAAAATGATCAGAAAGAAAATGTACATACAAATGTTTTTGCTAGGGGCCATAGAGTTGGTGCTGTCTGAGAGACCCAAGGTACAGCAGGACAAAACACGGCCCAGTCCTGCAACAGACATCCTCACGATTGGTGTTAAGATGGAGCCCCCACTTCTGCTGCCACAGTGCCAGTCCATCTTACAGGGGTCTTCCTCTTTCTGCTGACTCTCCACTTTATGACGTCCTTCTCCAGGGACTGGGCCCTCCTGATAACATGTCTAAATAATGAGACACGAAGTCTCACCATCCTGCCTTCTAAGGAACACTCTGGCTGTACTTCTTCCTACACAGATCTGTTGGTTCTTATGGCAGTCCACAGTACTCTTAACATTCTTCTCCAACACCATAAATCAAATGTATTAATTCTTCTACAATCTTCCTTATTCACTGTCCAACTTTCACATGTATATTAGGCTACTGAAAATACCATGGTTTGGGTCAGGCACACCTTAGTCCAAAAACTGACAGCTTTGCTCTTGAGCACTTTAAAGGGGTCTTCTGTACTAGATTTGCCTAATGCAATATGCTGATTTCTTGGCTGCTGCTTACATGATGTGGATCCAAGTAAAATGAAGTCTGTGACAACTTCAATCTTTTCTCCATTTGTCATGTTATTTATTGGTCTGGCTGTGAGGATTTTTGTTTTCTTTACATTGAGGTTCACTCCATACTGAAGGCTACATATATACTCTTTGATCTTCATCAGTATTTTAAGCCCTCTTTGCTTCTAGAAAGCAAAGTTATATATCATCTGCGTATCCCAGACTGTTCATGAGTCTTCCACCAATCCTGATGCCACCTCCTTCATATAATCCAGCCTCTCTGTTTTTTGTGCTCAGGACACAGACTGAGTAAGTATGGTACAAGGATACAACCCTGCCACAGACCTTTTCCTGATTTTAAACAACTGGTATCCCCTTGTTCTGTTGGTATCCTCTTGATCTACGGACTGATTCCTCGAGCACAATCAAGTATTCTGGAATACCCATTCTTTGCAATATTATCCATAGTGTGTTAGTATCCACACAGCTGAAAGCCTTCACATAGTCCATAAAGTACAAGTAAACATCTTTCTGGTATTCTCTGCTTGTAGCCCACATCCAGCTGATGTTGCAATAATATATCCCTAGTCAGCAATGAATACTTCCTCTTGAACATTAGCATTCAGAAAATGCAAATTATTACTATAAAATCTGATATATACACACGTAAGGTAACAGGTTTCACTCAGTGTGAAGTTAGTTAGAAAGAAAGAATTTTGTTGATTCAGTGTGTCTTTATAAAGCTGTTCTCAAAAAAAAAAACACAACAACTTACAAGTCAGGCTGCGAACTGCAAGGTCAGCAGTTAGAAACTTCCAGCTGTTTTGCGGGAGAAAGATGGGGCTTTCTGCTCCCGTAAAGATTTACAGCCTCGGAAACCCTGTACAGGGTCGCTATGGATCGGAACCGACTCCACGGATCATAACCAACCAACCAATCTATGTCTTATTGAGCATTTTCCAACTACTGAGCCTTCCTCTTTGCTCCCA